GGACTGTAGGTTTGTTCTTAAGTTGAATCTGTATGTAAGTCAGAACTGGTGTCCAGATTCAGCCGCTGTTCAGTGTCAGCAGCGGCTAACTTGGGGACGCCTGGGGTAGAGCAGCTCGGGTGCTGCTGGGTTGGTCCAGTAGCACAGCCGCTCCTCGGCGCTACTGGACCAACCCAGCAGCACCCCATCTGCTCTGCCCCAGGCGTCCTGATTCAGCCGCTGCTCCAGTCCTCCGGGGTGAGAAAATCCCCGTTCATAACTGCGGATCCGACATAAGTTGGATCCGCGTAACTTGGGGACTGCCTGTAATCAGGATTTATATTCTGCAGCAGCTATCTGGAGCCTAACTGATGAATATTTTCAACTCCCCTACTGTCTTGATTGCATGTTGCAGGGATAGGGGAAGGGTGTTCCAGGAAACACTCACAATACCTGCTTATAATCTAATAAAAATATTTAAATTAAACCAAAAAAGCATTAAGTGTATGTTTGCTGCTATGTTTTAAGGAAAGTCACACCTCAGATCAGGTGACAGTCACTGGCTAAGCACCTGGAACCAGAATTTGTTGAAATGCTAAATTAGCTTTTGCCAGCAGTAGCTTCTAGTTCAGGTGTAGATTGATTTTTTTTTTTTTAACTTTCGTTTATTAATCTAGTTCATTTCAATGTGCAGGTCATATTTAAATCGAAGGTTAGAAAAAAGATGGAAAACTTGTTTTCCTCTTCCAATCTATGAATGAAAACCAAATTTGAGAGGATCAGATTTAGACGTTCTGAAACCTTGAAAGACGCAGTTCTCAGAAGTAGTCAGTTAAGTTCACCAACCAAAGATAATTTTCTTGTTTAATATCAATCAGTTAGTTTTAAATACAAAATGTGTTTTGCCGAGATTTTGATAAACTTTTTTCATGCATTTCTAGAACATTTCAGATATTTAAAAACTAAATACAACTATTTAAGCTTGTGTTGTAAACCTGTTTTGGGTTGTGGACCACTGACTCACAGTAAAATCAGTTTGGCGGAGTGCAGCAGGTGCTGGAGTCCAACATGGGCTCCCCAATTCTGGGGGGAAGGAGCCCTGGGTGCCAAATTCAGGCAAGCTGTGGACTGCATCTTACCCCTGGGTCTAAGATTCTCCAACCCTGATTCAAGTGCTTGCTGTTTGTCCATTTTTTATTGAATTTGATTTTTCCATCTAAACAATTTGACACAAATTATAAGTAAAATCTATTTATTTATTAACTAAGAGTTATTGCAGAACTGTAGTGGAAGTAGCTCACGGTACCTGGTGCGAGCCACGTCTAAGCCAGGCTGCTTGCCTGCCAGCTCCTGAAATACTCTTAGTGCAGAGCCGCAGTAGGGGTAGTTGCCAGGGCCTGGCATGAGCCAGGCTGAGTGCTTGCAGTGCTAATCCTTATCGATTAATCGTGTAGTTGACAACAATTTTGTCAACTACATGACTAACAAATTACATGCTTCTTAATATCCCTAGTAAATACTTTTTAAAAAATTATTC